GGAGCTTTCGGGAGCCATGTGTGCCCCAGAGGGTGGGAGAGGCCTCGGGGGTGGTGCAGACCCTTCCAGRAGGCTCTACCTTGAGGACGAAGGTGTGGAGGTTGTCGGGCATCTCGAGGCGTGTGCACCTGCGCACCTCCTGGACAGCGGAGCAGGCGATGAGCAGCTTTGGCTTGGAGCCCTGTGAGGGGAAATGCAGAGCCTGAGGTGAGCCCCTATGCCCCAAAACACTGCTTTGTGCCCCAAAACACTGTCCTGCACCCCAAATCACTGCACAAACCCCCAAAACACTGCCCAAACCCCCAAAACACTGCCCCATGCCCCAAAATACTGCTCAAAACCCCAAAACACTGTTTTGTGCGCCTAAACACTGCCCAAACCCCCAAAACACTTGCCTCAAAACACTCCCCCACACCCCAAAACACTGCCCCACACCCCAAAACACTGCCCAAAACCCCAAAACACTGCCCAAAACCCCAAAACACTGCCCCACACCCCAAATCACTGCCAGGCCCTGGGAGCCACCCAAGACACAGCAGCCAGCAAGGAAATACCCAGCTCTGCAGGGAAATACCCCACCAGCCAGGAAAGACCCTTTGTGGCGAGAAAATACCCCATATGGCAAGAAAATATCCCCCACAGCACTGCCCGGGGCACCCCGGGGGGCTGAGGGACACCCAGAYCCATCYCAGCRGTCCCRAAGATKCTRCAGTGGRYGGATGGGTGGAGGAGAGGAGGGRAGGAGGGGRKTCCCAGCGTGTCCCAGGGATGTGRCACCCATGGGGACATCGGGGTGCACCCAYGGGGACAYYGGGGTGCGGGCAGGGCAYATCCTGCTCATGGGTGCGAGGGTCAGTGGCGTGCCAAGAGCTCGGGGCGGGTTTGGCAGCGGCACAGGCACGTGACGGAATGCTGAGCAAACACTTCCACAAATGCCAAAATATCCCGGTGGCAGCTTTCGGTTCCTCTGAGCCGCTGATCACCACAGGACCCGGCTGGASCCGGCGTGCCAGGGGGGAAAAAGGGTCCTGGGGGAGCCCTGCACGGTGTTGGGTGATGGAGAAAATCCTTCGTGCTCATCCCCATGGGTCAGAGATGTCCCCAACATCCTGGCAAAGGGCAGGGAGTGCCAGGCATGCTCGTCCCCCCGCACCACAAAATTTTGGGTGGCTGTGATTCCCATTTGTCCCCCCTCCCTGAACCAGGCTCGCTGCAGCACAAAATTTTGGGTGGCTGCGATTCCCACAGTGGCTTTATCATCCCGTGGGATGCTGGCAGCAGTGGCCCTCTTCAACCCACAGCCCAAAAAACTGCCCAAATTCTGCTCCGAGCTCGCGATCCTCGCGGYAAACCCACCCCCACCACCTGTGTGTCCCCTGCCACCAAAACTGTCCCCACCGGACACTTCCTCGGTCACCCAACCACACCGTGTTTTAGCTGCGCTATTTTTTTTTTTTCCTCCCACCCCCTCCTCCTTCCTCCCTCTCCGGGCCGAGCACTCGGTGTTCTTTGGGGCCGGAAACGCAGCGAGAGAGGGATCGGCTCTTATCAGCGCCGAARAGAAAAGTTCTTAGAAGTCGCTGGCGCACGGCGTCATGCGCGGGGCTGGTGACACCGCGGTGGCTCCGGCACCCCGGGCCCCGCTGGCGACACTGATTGCAGCTCTGCTGCGCTGCAATCACTGTCCCCGAGCTGCCGTGAGCCGCCGCGACGGCGCCGGGGCGTTATCCCGAAGGAATTCGGGTTTTCSGCCACCTTTGGAACGCGAGCGTGCCCGGCGGGAGGGCAGAGAGCGAAAGGATCGCTCATCCCGGCCGCTTTCCCCGTGACCCTGAGTGGGTTTTATCAACATCCCAATCGCGGCTTCTTAGGAAACCGGGAAATTCCGGGGAAAAAAAAAAATAAATAAAAAAAAGGGAGTTCGGCGAAGCCCCCGGCGCGGAGCTCGAAGGGAGAAGGAAATGATGCAGCGCTGAGATACGGTGCCCGAGAAGCCAGGCTGGCTTCGGAGAAGCGCGTACCGCAGGCACGGTGCCCCCGCTCCGGGGCGCCGCACCTGACCGCAAGATGCCCTGCTCGATGCGGCCGCTACCGGGAAAGGGAGTTCTCGGTAACMAAAAGTGCACGCTCAACACGCCGAGGGCTCACCCACGGGCTGCTGCTCGGCAGAGAGATGGATAAACCCTGGGTAAGCCCCGCTGTCGGGGCGCTCGGGGTGGGGTGGAATGTTCAGGATGCTCGGGATGTTGGTCCCGCACCTGCTCCCACTGATTCCCARAGGATCCTGTGCAAATGGGGAAAGCCCAGCAYTTCCCAAAATCACCTGGGGTGGCAYACCCCGTGAAGCTGCACTCCCAAAACCCCAGAACAGAACTCACTTTCTACCGTGGCTGTGGCATTCCCGGCATTCCCAGTGCTGGCACACAAATCTGGGCATCCTGGGCTGTGCCAGGGTCATTGTCCAGCTCTCAGGGGTGAAGGCAGCGGGATTTGACCCAAATTCCCTCTCCCTGTGGGAGCTGACAGTGGCTGACAGGGTGGAAAGGACAGTTCCATAGGATGGGGACAGAGGAGACTCTCCAGCTCCCAGAACCTCCCAGAATACACCACAACTTTTATCCTTTGCAGGGAGTTTTTACACCGTTTAAAAATGCAAAGCTTCAGCTGGGTCAGAGATATTCCCAGTGCTGGAAGATGTGAGGCAAACCCCAAAATGCCCCCCAAGGATGGAACAGCCTCTGCTCCCTGCCCTGAGCATCCCACCAGAGCCCCTCCCCGTGTCCCCACATCCCCACAGGGTGACACGGGAAGTGCCAGCACAGCACGAGAACAACCAGCACGGCACAGGCAGGGCCACCACGGCACCCAAAACAGCCACCAACACCTGGGGAGGGCAGGGCAGCCGGGASAACGCGGGGTTTGATGGCTGCTGCCACACCTGGGAGGGAGCTCGATGCCAGCTCGGCGCTGTGGCCGTGCCAGGGGTGTGAGCGAAGGTCAGGCCAAGGTCACAGCTGTGGAGCGGCTGCATTTCCTCCTGGCAAACCCCCGAGCCTTCCCTCGCCTTCGGTGCAGAAGTCACTGCCCACAGGGCTGGTTTGGCACAGCAGGTCCCTCACAGCAAAGATATTCGGGATTTTTCACAGCCAAACTCCTCCCAGCTGTGCCAGGAACGCTCTCCCCACGATGCCATGGGGAACACATCCTGTGCAGATGCTCAGGACACGCTGTGGGTGCTGGGGGAGCTTTTCCCACTCAGCTGAGGGAGAAGGTGCCTTTCCAAGAATGATGGTGGTGGCACGATGGCAGTGGCACAACGATGACAGTGGTGGTGTGGCGATGATGGCAGCGGGGCAGTGATGAGGGCAGTGGTGTGACACTGATGACAGTGGTGGCATGGCAACAACAGCAGTAGCATGGTGGCAGTGGCACAGTGATGATGGCAGTGGCACGCTGGTGATGACAGTGGCACGATGGTGGCACGGTGATGATGGCAGTGGCACAATGATGATGGTGGTGGCACGGTGATGATGATGGTGGTGCAGTGATGATGATGGTGGCATGGTGATGATGGCAGTGGCACAATGATGATGGCAGTGGCACAGTGATTATGATGGTGGTGCAGTGATGATGATGGTGGCATGGTGATGATGATGATGGCATGGTGACAATGGCAGTGGCACAATGATGATGACAGTGGCACAGTGACAATGACACTGGCTGTGCCATCAGGCCRAGTTCTTGTGCAGAGCGAATCCTTCGAGAGCACCAGGAGCTGCCCCCGGCCCCTYGGTGCTCCGGGGCTTTCCCCAGGCCGGCTCTCGCTTCCACTCTGAGTCACCCGCGGCAGGTGGGGAAGTGCCTGAGCCTTGTGCAAGGTCCCCAACAGACACAGGCCAGATTTGTCACTTCTCGTAAATCACGGAGCTCTCTGCATCCCTCATGCAAGGGACAAACCTCAGCTGGAGCTGCAGTGCCCAGACCAGACTGTGTTACCTGTGCCCGCAGCCCTGGGAGAAGGGGGAGGTTTTCCTGGAGAATGAGTACACACAGACCTTTTCCAGGGAATGCCAGGTGATCTGGGTGGGCAGGGCAGGGGAAGGCAGCGGGGCCCTGTGGGGCTACCAGGGCTCCAGGGGTCCTGCTGGAGGGTGAAAGTTTCTGCTGCAGAAACGGTCCTCGGGGGTTTGCACCACGGGAAATCCCACATTTCATCCTCAGGGGTTTGGTGGGGCAGGAAATCCCAGTGGCTGCCCTTGGGAGTTTCACCATCATTAAACCCAGTGCTCATCCCTGAAGTATTTGCGCCGTTAATAATTCCAGCACGTGCAGGGGTTTGCACCACAGCCAATCCTGGTGTCCATCCTCAGGGATCTGTGTCCATCCTCAGGGATCTCTGTCCATCCTCAGGGATCTGTGTCCCTCCTCAGGGATCTGTGTCCCTCCTCAGGGATCTCTGTCCATCCTCAGGGATCTCTGTCCATCCCCAGGATCTCTGTCCATCCCCAGGGATCTGCACCACGGCCATTCCCTGTGCCCTCCAGCAGCTGATCAATCCCGGTGCTGGGAGAGCTGCCAGCCCCGTTAATCCCAGTGCTCTTCCTCGGGTGTTTGGCTCATCCCAAGGACTGCCCTGCCAATGCTGGGGTTTGGGACTGGGATCTCACTGATTCGGGCCTTCCGTGCCTGCTGCAGGGACCCCTGGCCCYGGAGTGACACATTCCCGAAATATTCCCACCTCTCCACAGGTGAGACTGCTCCCTCGGAACCCCGACAGCAGCGAGCACCGCCCTGGGCTCAGGGAACTGGAGCTGGGAGATTCCCCGAGTGCCAAATAGGAACACGGGAGGTGATTC